CATTGATATGATTGATATTGATATTGATATGATATGATATTCATTCAAATAATTATTGATTATTATTATCGTTTTTTTTCCGTTAATAAAACGAAAAAATTAAGTTGAATACATTTTAGTTTGAAACGAAAAAATTAAATTGAATACATTTTTAGTTTGAAACGAAAAAATTAAATTGAATACATTTTAGTTTGAAACGAAAAAATTAAATTGAATACATTTTAGTTTAAACCAATAAAATATGTACCATATTGTTGCATTGATATTAGTATCTTTAATTTGTTGAATTTCTCTTTAAAGAAAACAAAATAATGATGTGATGAAAATTTAAAAAAAAAAAAGTAAATTGAATGATAATTACTTAAGGAAGAGACGATTGAAAAGTATATTTTATCGATTTGCTTAATGAAGTAAATTTCAACTTAAATCAGGTAAAAAGAGAAATAATAATAATAATAAAAGACTGAAATATTGGAGCATATGATTCAAAAAAAAAAAATAATAATCTTACTAATCAATAAACTTTTAAAATTAATGCTGTTAATTGATGTTAATTACACAGCTAATTATTAAATTAGGAAAAATAATCCGTGCCAGATTTCAAATATCATATTTAAATTCAATGTAACAAATTTTTAAAGATGAATTCTTTAAAATTTTGCACTAAAATTACATTAACAATAATAGCAATAATATGGTATTTATTGGAGTATATTCCAACATGAGATCGATAGCAAATTAAATTTTAGCTCTTAATTTTAAAAATTTAACTAACGTAATACCATTGATTACTTAATGTCATTGATTACTACGATCCCAGCTTTCAGCTTAATTAAACCATTTAAACCATTGAATAAATATTGTTTCGTAATTTTGTCGAAAATTTTTGATTTAAAAATAAATTTCATCCATTACTTCCTTATATCTCCCTCCCTTCTCTCACTTTCTCTTCCTTTTATTTCATTATTTATATTTTTATTAATGTTTTTTCCCCATACTAATTATCTATTTAACCATTAACTGCAATATCGTTCAATTAATGAAATTTCCAACAATATTTCAAATTATTAAACACATGAAATAATTAAACGAAATTTCTCGATCGATGCAAATAATGCTTGTAATTAGAATAATTATTCGCGTACTTCACAAAATTATTACTTCACATCAATTGAATTAGTAGTAATAACAATTAAAAATAATTAATAATAATAATAATAATAATAACAATAATAATAATAATAATAATAATAATAATAATAATAATAATAATAATAATAATAATAATAATAATAATAATAATAATAATAATAATAATAATAATAATAAATAATATAATAATAATAATAGTAATAATAATAATAATAATAATAATAATAATAATAATAATAATAATAATAATAATAATAATAATAATAATAATAATAATAATAAT